TACCACCAATTTTGACCTCTTGATCTCTTGACCTTGGAGTTTGACCCACTTTTACAAGAAAAATACCTTAAACTTGGCCTAAGTTTTGAACAGGTGGTGCTAGGACTTTCATGCTCTAACATGTGTAATCATTGTGAACTTTCAACAGGTATAATTATTTTTGACCTAGACCTTAGAGTTGAACCCAATTTAACTTTAACCTTGGCAATAACTTTTGAACAGGTGAGGAAGTTCTAGGGATTTCTCTCTTTTTTCACATGTGTATTCCTTGTGACAAGACTTTCCCTTTGATACCAACAATTTTGACCCTTTGACCTTGACCTTGGAGTTTGACTTACATTTGAGAAACTTCAACCTTTGCCAAAAGCTGCCATAACAGTTGCTGTCACAACAAACAAACAAATTACTAAAAAAACACAGTATACATGTACATATTTTATATTCAACAGATATACATCTGGTCATATCTCTAGTTCTCCCTTGAATGAGACATGGTGATATAAATTTTAAAAAATAATTATGATAAGAGTTGAAAAGGTTGTGCATATTAAAATATACTAAGCTCTGCGGATGAATTAGATATACCAGTTTAGCTTTATTTTGCTACCCAAAGCACCTTGATTAACTATTTATAAGCATACTGTTTTCTGAAATGTACTGATTTCTGTTGTCCATCTGTTTGTCTGCAAACTTTTCACATTAACTTCTTAAGAACCACTGGGCCAATTTCAACCAATTTACATTTAAATATGCAGGGGACTTTTTCCAACATAAATCTTCTTCTCAAGAACAGCAAAGACATTTATTGTCCCCCATTTTCGCTAAAGGTAGGGTACATTAAATCTCATTTGTTTGTCAATCTGCCCATCTGTCACAATAAATTTAACCTTGGTCATCATGGTCGTATATTTTGAATGAGAAGAGACAGGACTTTTATATTAAACATGTGTATTAGTATTAAATGGGACAATACCATTCTAAATACACTATGATTTTTATTACCCATGACCTTGAAGTTTGACCTAATTTCATAAACAAATTAATTGCTTTGAATTAATCATTTTGAAAGATAAATGAAAGGGCATTCATATTACCTGTGATAAGACCTTTCCAAATGTATCATGACTTTTTGACTCTGTGACCTTGACCTTGAAGTTTAACTTAGTTTTCATTAATGTTGTATTTCCTTTTCATTGAGAAGAGATTCGACTTTCACATTTCAAGTGAACATTACCCATAACAAGATGTTTCCCAACATGCTATGATTTTTTACCCCTTGACCTTGATGTTTTAACAAAATTTCAAAAGAGTGAACTCTCCCAAAAGAGGATAAGACCACTGTTTAAAACGAAAAAGGAGTTTAGGGAAGACTGGGCTTTTTCCATAAAAAACGTCATTTTTCGACCCTCATTTGACCCCCCGGGCAAAATCAAAATTCCGAAACCTAACTGCACATCTACATGACCCCACCAACCATCTCCTAAAAGATGATTAGGCTGCTGAATAAAATGTAAGAGGAGTTCAAGGAAGATGGGGCTTTTAGCATAAAAAACGTCATTTTTCGACCCCCATTTGACCCCCTGGGGCAAAATCAAAATTCAGAAACCTTACTACACATCTGCATGACCCCACCAACCATCTCCCAAAAGATGATTAGGCTGCTGAGTAAAATGTAAGAGGAGTTCAGGGAAGAAGGGTCTTTTTGCATTAAAAAAGTCATTTTTCGACACCCATTTGACCCCCCAGGGCAAAATCAAAATTCCGAAACCTTACTGCACATCTACATGACCCCACCAACCATCTCCCAAAAGATGATTAGGCTCCTGAGTAAAATGTAAGAGGAGTTCAGGGAAGACGGGGCTTTTTGCATAAAAAACATCATTTTTCGACCCCCATTTGACCCCCCGGGGCAAAATCAAAATTCCAAAACCTTACTGCACATCTACATGACCCCACCAACCATCTTCCAAAAGATGATTAGGCTGCTGAATAAAATGTAAGAGGAGTTCAGGGAAGACGGAGCTTTTTGCTTAAAAAACGTCATTTTTCGACCCCCATTTGACCCCCCCAGGGCAAAATCAAAATTCCAAAACCTTACTGCACATCTACATGACCCCACCAACCATCTCCCAAAAGATGATTAGGCTGCTGAGTAAAATGTAAGAGGAGTTCAGGGAAGAAGGGTCTTTTTGCATTAAAAAAGTCATTTTTCGACACCCATTTGACCCCCCAGGGCAAAATCGAAATTCCGAAACCTTACTGCACGTTTACATGACCCCACTAACCATCTCCCAAAAGCTGGTTAGGCTGCTGAGTAAAATGTAGAAGGAGTTCAGGGAAGACGGGGATTTTTGCATAAAAAACGTCATTTTTCGACCCCCATTTGACCCCCCGGGGCAAAATCAAAATTCCAAAACCTTACTGCACATCTACATGACCCCACCAACCATCTCCCAAAAGCTGGTTAGGCTGCTGAGTAAAATGTAGAAGGAGTTCACTGAAGACGGAGCTTTTTGCATAAAAAATGTCATTTTTCGACCCCCATTTGACCCCCCGGGGCAAAATCAAAATTCCGAAACCTTACTGCATATCTACATGACACCACCAACCATCTCCCAAAAGATGATTAGGCTCCTGAGTAAAATGTAAGAGGAGTTCAGGGAAGACGGGGCTTTTTGCATAAAAAACATCATTTTTCGACCCTCATTTGACCCCCCGGGGCAAAATCAAAATTCCAAAACCTTACTGCACATCTACATGATCCCATCAACCATCTTCCAAAAGATGATTAGGCTGCTGAATAAAATGTAAGAGGAGTTCAGGGAAGACGGAGCTTTTTGCTTAAAAAACGTCATTTTTCGACCTCCATTTGACCCCCCAGGGCAAAATCAAAATTCTGAAAGCTTACTGCACATCTGCATGACCCCACCAACCATCTCCCAAAAGATGATTAGGCTGCTGAGTAAAATGTAAGAGGAGTTCAGGGAAGACGGGGCTTTTTGCATTAAAAAAGTCATTTTTCGACACCCATTTGACCCCCCGGGGCAAAATCGAAATTCCAAAACCTTACTGCACATCTACATGACACCACCAACCATCTCCCAAAAGCTGGTTAGGCTGCTGAGTAAAATGTAAGAGGAGTTCAGGGAAGACGGGGCTTTTTGCATAAAAAATGTCATTTTTCGACCCCCATTTGACCCCCCGGGGCAGAATCAAAATTCCAAAACCTTACTGCACATCTACATGGCCCCACCAACCATCTCCCGAAAGCTGGTTAGGCTGCTGAGTAAAATGTAGAAGGAGTTCAGGGAAGACGGGGCTTTTTGCATAAAAAACGTCATTTTTCGACCCCCATTTGACCCCCCGGGGCAAAATCAAAATTCCAAAACCTTACTGCACATCTACATGACCCCACCAACCATCTCCCAAAAGATGATTAAGCTACTGTGTAAAATGTAGGAGGAGTTCAGGGAAGAAAAGTGTGACAGACGGACGGACGGACGGACGGACGGACATGAGTAACAACAATATACCCGATTTTTCTTTAGAAAGTGCGGGTATAATTATAAAGAGGAAAAATATGTATCAAGTGACTGATGGGTGGACACATTTTTTTTAATTGAAAACAATATTCTTACTCCTTTCTTTTGAAAAGGTGTACCTACAAGTGTCACGGAAAAAAAAGAATTCAATCGAAAATTGCTATAAAATTGCTATAGAATTTATTTAAAAAAAATGAATCCACACAATATCCATGAAATATGAAAGTAACGGACACTTAAATGCCTTTAAGAACAGTGAAACTGTAAAACTTGTTAGCACAGCAAACAGGAACCCGTAATGTATGAATATAAATTGTTTGGCGTTAATTGCCTTGCAAAAGACTAAAAATACTCATTTTTTCTGTCTTAAATACTTTAAACAAACTTCTATATCATCTGTCTTATCCTACAAACCGTAGATTCCTTATTTTACAAGAGTACTTTTTGTAGTTCTTTCAAATTGCCAAATCAATAAAATGCACTCAGACGGTTAATTAAAATATTCTATTAAGATTTCAGCATCATGGAAAAGTCAGAAAACTTAATTTGCGAGTGATCCATCTTTATATCTCTCTTAAAGATTTTCTCAATACATTTTCATGTAAAAAGCCTCATCCTACCACCTCAGTCATAATTCTACTTGAATAACACTTTAACAGGAAATTTTCCCAATGGTTTAATTTCTGAAATTCCTTTTAAAAAGAATTTTTTCACATACCTTCTAAAATAATATGCACAGTGTAAGCATAAATGACCCGTCCGTCTGGCCGTTACACTTTTTTTCCTCAGACTTCTTCGAAGTAAGATCTTGATTTTCAACGTTGGTAGGGTGGACAAGTGGAGGATTATGAATTTTTATTCTACATTTTTTTTTACTCAAAAATCGAATTCCACATGCTCCTCATTTTCTTAACCGTATCCCAATCATATTTAAAAAAAAAAAAAACGAAGTATGGGAGAGGGCTATAGATATGCAATTAGGTTGTGAAATTTTCCATTTATCCTGGGGTGGCCATGGGTGGTGGGTGGGGGTGGGATGATACTGAGGGTTGGTTTATATTAAGACAGCAATTCTATTTTAGGCAATATCATTTTTATTTTAAATCCAAATTAAAATTTTTACAGTTGAAGAGAATTTAAATGCGTTCAAAGATCAGTTGATAAAAATAAGATTTACTTTCTGTACATTTCCTGTGCCCTTACATTTTCATTCACCCCAAAAATTGATTTTTATTATCAACAATAGGATTTATTAATGGAAATTTGAATCTCTATTAGATTCTCTAGATATCATCCAGTTTGTGTGGTTGCTCAGTTTATAACGGCTTATATTTTTTCTAAAATGCAAAAAGAAAAAGGCAGTTAATATTAAAAATGATTACAAAATGTATCTCAGGAATATTTTTTATTTTATCAATAATATTTCATCAATAAATAGAATTCTTCTTTAGATTTTACCTTAGAAAGATATGAAGGTGATAACTACTATTATAACATGAATAAGCATTGCAACGGTAACACCAGTAATGGTGGCAGTTGATTTCTTAGGATCATCTCTGAAATCAAAACCAAATTATTTTATCCACACCACCATACTTTCAAATGAAACTTATGGAGATAACGAACAGTAAAATTTTTACTTTCAAACTAATAATTAAGGTATTTGCCTGAAATCTCAAATAGTTCCATAATTTGCACAATTATGTTATTAAAACATTAAACAATTATCTTGTAAACACATATCGAAATAGGACAAAAAAGATCGAGTATGATATTTGTTATATGATAATAGATTTAAAAAAATATTACTTACAGCTGCTTTTGAGAATGTTCTGTACCTGTACATGTATTGTTTGTTTCGTAACATATTGAATCTAGAGTAAACAAATATTGAATATTTTATCAAATGTTATGGTGTACATGTAATTTTGACTTAAATACAATATAGGTACAGTATCAAAAACCTGATTTCACTCCGAAGATACAATCAAGATAAACATAATTTTTTCTTGATTCAGAAATATTTTCCTAAGAAGATGGCTGTCTCTCTCTTCAAAAATTATACTTTTCTCTTTGAATAACTTAATAGTTGGACAAGCCCTGGCCACATATATACTTTGGTGAAAAGTGGGGGTATTCAACTTTAGAGCTCAGTAACAACAGATGATATACAGCTTACATTCAAATGTTTCATTGGACAGGTAAGACGGGGAACATGGACTCAATGAAGTGGTACAATTCCTAAAGAAAGAGGGCTGAATAATTTCCCCTAAGGTATTCCATTCCGTGCAAACACCATCTATATGTACATCAAAACTTAATAAAAATAAATCAACATAACATAATTATCATAATATTTTTACAACTGAAAAATACTACTAAAACATTAAAATAAAAACTTATTATAAAATATAGAATTAAACGTACTAAGATTTCTGAATGTGGCGGCACAAACTTCTACAAAACCACCAACATCTTCAGTGGGTACACAATGGTATTCGAGACTTTTTGTACAGTTGTGTTCAATTGTCCAGCACTCTTTTTCCGCTGCAGCCCTTCTCCACTCCGTCTCGTTTTCCGGACAGCATGATACATTTTCGACCGTTTGTGCTGAAGCAGCACAGTGATAGATTGATTTTACGGCCTGAGAGAAATTTATAAATCTGCTATCATTGAATCAAACATGTTTAAAAAAATAATAATTTGAATATATATTTATAAACTATCTAGATCTATTAATACACATACCTTGGAACAGAAAGTATATGTAAGCAACAAAATCGGCAAATTCATTGACTGCTTATTTTTTACACTGAAAGAAAAAAAATGATAAAGTTATAGATGAGTTCTATATATGAGAGGAAGGTAAAAATTTACAATCACCAGGAAAAGTTTTAATGACTGTCAATAAATCTAAATATTTTGAAAATAAAAATGGATGGTTACAGATATTTTTTTCAGATATATGTATACATGTACGTTTATTGTATTTTCTTGGTAAAAGACGGTTTCCAATTCATAATCTGCAGTCCCTTCTAAATTGTTAGTGTATTTATGAAAGAAAACGGTAATAAATTAACATCAATGCCAAAATCTGTATAGAATAGAAAACTTCCAAGTATATTTGAACGCATATTAAGGCATGTGTTTTGCAAACCTTTGTAACAAATGAAAGACGGGTGGAAACTGGTGGCAATTGTATTAAAATCCCTTTGACTGAGGAATAATGATATTAAAAATAAATAAAAAACTACTAAATTAAAAATATAATAAGTAGGGTTTGAAACTCATTACTGTAAGATATACGTCTTAAACCTAACTAGTGCTAATTGTAACGGGGACCGTTACAGATGTTCCCCAAACGCTCCCCATGTCCCTTTACGTGCCTTATTCCTCTTAGACCTTTTTATAAATATGCTAAGTATCCAATGATTTCATTTAAGAATATAAAATTTACAATGATATCAACTATCAACTATATATCGTTTAACGTTTTGCATGCGCGCACACGTACATGTACATACATATGCAAGATGATTATGGCATGTTGGTTAAATGTTTAACATATCTTTCTATCCCGCGAATCAAAGAAAAAAATACATATATAAAGTTACCATTTTTCAATCATATGTCATTTTTTAATATATCGATTCACATTTTATTTCGCTATTTATTTTAACCTAGGGCTCAAAGTTGCTTTTATTCCGACGACAGGGCAGGGTTAAAGTCGACTAAGGGTATCACGCCGATAGCTAACCAATCAAAATGAACTTATTCAATAGTAGTTCCATACATGGAAAAGGGATTTTCCTTTCTGTTCGGAATTTTTGTAATATTTCCTCTCAGGCCATTTTGACAACGCTGGTACCTGTGCCTAGTAAATTTTATATACTTTGTAAATAAATATATAAAGGTTTTTGACCGGAACTATTCATTTTTTCCAATGCATAGGGGGCTACTTTCTGGGGTTTACAAGAGATGTTTAAAAAGACATTCGTGTCAGCTAATGTGACCAATATTGTTTAACACCTTATTAATATTTTTTTCATGAATGCAAATATCTGATTATTTTACGAAGGAGCGTACCTGTATATTGATTTTTAATATACCGAAAATCGCTATTTCTGGGGATTGCGTAATTCTAAAAAAAAATTCAAATAAATTTCAAAGGTAAAATAAACAAAGGATGCTTGGTATTAAAATATTATTTCAAATCAGTAGAATTGAATGCTATTAACGACATCTGAATAAATGGGCTATAAAAGGCTTATATACCAACTTTGTTCATCTGCACTTTAATTTTAAACACGACAGGATTTGTAATTTTTTCTGTATAAATTAATAATTTCTATATACTTTGGAAACTCAAATCAAATATTTTAATACACTTTCCTCGAGCTCTTTTCTGCAGTTTTCCTGAAATTTATTGTGGGTCCGAGGTGTTATTTGAGTTTAACAGTGATTCTCTACGTTGCCATTAATTTGATTTGTTTAGTTGTTGCGGGGGGAAGGGGGGGGGGTATTTTTATTGTTAACCTATTTAACGTTGGAGTTGAATCTTGTATCTTACTCCAAGAACTTAAGATTGATTGTGACATTTGGATGAAAGGTCAAGGTCATTAAAAACCACCACCTCTTTAACTTCTATCCTGCCAACCGAAATAAACTCTGAAAGGTGTTTCTAGATACATGTACATGTACTTCATGTTGCTTTTTACCCTTGGGTCAAGGACAAGGGTTAAGGTCGATTTCAAGTTCATAGGTCAAGGTGATTTTGGTATATAGCTAATATCAACATTTTATTCAGATTACCAGTGACCTTGACCTAAGTTTCAAGGTCAAGGGTCAAAAGATCTGCATGCTTCAGTATGTTACATGTCTTGACATTTAGAAGTTCTTAATTCTGCATGAACATCACAAACTCAAGTATACTGTCGTTTAATGCATTGTGTGCGGGTGCATGTGCATGCACGTCCTTGCATTTACTTTTGATAGTAGTATAATGTAGGCATTCATTATATCTATTCATATTCGAAATTTCACCCTGTATTAGTGAGAACCAAGAAAGTTGTAGGCATTTAAAGTTTTAGCCAATCAGATTGCAGCACACGTGCATGTGCGTGTTTTCATGATTATTCTTATATATCATGCTGTAGATCTTCATAATGTATGGCTATGTTAAAAATTTCAAAGGATTTTGTCAGAAAACAAAAAAGATATTTAGACTTTTAGTTTCAGCCAATCGGAGCGAAGCGCACGTGCATGCGCGTGAGATCTTGCTATTTTGACCATGTCATGATGTCTATACTACTAATATATCCTTATATCATGAGTTTCAAAGCATTTCATCCAAAATTTAAAAAGTTACGGCTATATCTATTATATTGGTCATTTCACGTGTTACGCGTGTGCGCACACGCACGCACGTGCGCGCAAAATGACCTTCGTTCCGCACATCTACATAACATACCTAGTGACCCTAAAAAGGTTTCACCTAGATCGGATGAGTAGTTTACGAGAACACTCGCGGACAAAAAAGTACCGGAGAACAAAGAAAAATTCAGAAAAAGTAAAAACAATATGTTCCCAAACTCCGTTTGGGGAACATAATTACAGTGAGATTTGGTATCATATTATAATCAAAATCACTGAGCCTCCTAAAGCCCATGAACAAAGCATTTACTTTTATGTTATAAATAACAGAAAAAACAGACTGTAATTTGTAAAGGAGGACAATTATAATCATCTGATCAAAGGAGTGGACGTAGCCATGTAAATAAAACTAACATGAGAGCTGCACACCTCGCCTGTAATTTTTCATTGTTAAAATAGAGAAATTACTGAAGATGCATATTTTCAAGTTGATTTGTTAATGTTACATGTATCATAAGTAAAATTAACTTCACTCAGTGATTAAAATCTATATGTATACTTTTCAGATCTTACATCGTTATCATTAAGAACATGTCGGAAAATTTAAAAACAGCATACATAGTTATACATATACATGATCACAAAAGATATAAGGCTGTTTAACACTATACATACCACAAGGCGAACACTGAAGGTGCAATCTTATAGGAGTGTACAAGCATGTGTGACATGAGCATCTATAATAAAGAGGAAGTCAATTAACAACTCTACAAGTGTCAAATCTTTGCTAACATGAATATTTTGTAGATAGTTTCAGTTAAGTGTTCTTAAAAATAAGATCGTCACATGACGAATATGTAATTGAATTCAATAATTGTGTTATGATTAATAATACGCATTTAAAAATATACATCACACAGTTCAAAAGCAATACATGTAATGTTTTTTTTTTATTTTCAACTGGATTCACGTTGAGCATGATGCAATTTTGTACATTGCATCAACAAATAACTAACGTAGATATGTTAGGATGTCGTACAGAGTCATTATAATTATATAGCATACAGTTGTATATCTCAACTTGCAATGACAAATCTACTTGATAATGTACAAGAATAGGGAATTACGGGTTGAAAAATGTCATCATAAATTTAAATAAATTACCATCAGAAACATAAAAAAGGAGGCCAAATATGCATGAAAATTTCGTGCGGCTGCCGTTGTGTTCGGCGAGGCCTATTAAAATTGGGATGGGAATCCTCGTGTAATTTAAATCTATGTCTGCATTTTTGAAGTCTAATTCTACAATTTTATTTCACAATGAAATGGAAAGATAAGGAATCACTGTCTAGTTAGTATAGTATGCCAGGAACAACAACAATAGTGGGAAACATGGGATAATTTATGCATAACGGACTTAGCCCGTTATGCAAATTACCCATGTTTCCCACTATTGTTGATGCCCTGGCATATTATACTGTGATGAAGTTGAATTTAGTTTTTTTTTTCCAATTTTTGTATTTTTTCTGTGTGTGTAAATAGAGTAATTATATCCCGAGTTTGGTTCCGTAGTTGAGAGTGTTCGAAATAAAACTATTTTTTGTATAACCGGTTTGGTCAGGGTGAGTCGTGGCTGTTTGTCAAGAGTTCGGCCACGTTTTGATTTTGTCGTGTAGTCGACGTTTCGTGGCAAATTCCAGAAGTTGGGAGACCTATGAGTCCAAATCTGGAACTAGAGGGACGCAGTGTTCGTAGTATGGAGGCCCAGTGGTGTTATCGATGATGTAACTGTTTTTTCTACGAAGTTGAATGGCAAACTTTCAATTCAGTTTTAAAGAACTAAAACAGTGTGAAAAGTTCATTTAGTTTAAATGGATTTCAGATTTAAAGTTGATAATTAACTAAAAGTTATTGTTTTCTGCGAAAAAGCTACAGTGCTGAACTTTCTTATTTGTTTGTTTTCTCTTATAATTACAACTGATTTGTTAAGGATACACCAAAGGTTTCCAAAGGGCAAAATCTAATTTGCTTGTAATTCCTTCATTAACAAAGATAACATATTAAAAGTATATATCATTTGAAAGCTTATTAAATTCACTATTAAATTATCTTAATTCAAATTTTCATTTTTATCTTATTGAAAAATTATTAATATTTTTGTGTAAATATTAATGCATTTATATTTTATAAATCAACTTTTTTGTATTCCACCTCTCAAAGTCAAAATTTTGCCTCAATGTAGATTAAAGATTGAACTATAAAACCGTATCTCAGATTTTTGATAAATCTTCTTATTCAAAAGTTACATCCATTTGTCTTTCAGTGTTACCAATTTATGAGCCTAATTCCACATTTCCTCCAATAATTCGAGAACTGAGCAAGATATCAAAAATCTGGGACATGGTTTTGTGAACACACATTTGAGACGCATTCTGGCCAGTTTTCAGAGAAATTGGTCAATAAATAAGGGAACTGAATCCTTTCAAATTATACCACCAACTGTCTGATCTTACTTTACAGTAGAGGGCAAAAACCCAGAACACAACAAAGTCTGCAAAAGCTAGAAATATATGACACCTTGGAGATTCAGCTTTGGATAAATGTAACTTATCCATATTTCCTATGCATATTCACAAGAATGGGAGGTTCTATTCTTTATTTAGGTGCTTTTAATGAAGTAAAATGGGTTCAATTCTGAATCAGAAAGATTTCCCGGCAAAATGTGAAGAGCTAAGCTCCACCTCCTATTTCATGGTCATTATAGTGACCTGTTAGATCTCCTTCCCTAAATCTAGAGTCCCTGTAGTTTAATTACTGATAACCTCGGTGTGGCTAGTGAAGAATTTCCCAAGTGGTCACAGTGATTCATTGCTCCTTTCAAAAGCAGGCACTTACTGACCAAATCAGAAGCTTCAATAACGGCACATTCATATGTGTTAGTGTTTATGTTTGATTATTGTTAAATAATTAGAAAACCATTTAATAATCAGCAAGAATTTTTCATGCATTATAAAGCAGTGATCAGCATTATTTTCTTAGCCAAAGATCTCAAAATTGACAAAAAACTTGAAAAAAGCCGTTGGTGTATCCTTAAAACCAGTATTTGATTTATTGGCAATTGTTTTTGTTTCAAGTTAATTAAATCCTTTAATTCATTGTCAATATTATCAAGTTTTGATTTAAAGTTATATTTTGTTTTCTTTGTGAGAGAGGGTACGTGCGTGAGAGTGTGTTTGATTTGATAATTTCTTATTTTGTTTTTTATTTAAATAAATTTATTTTGCATTGTTTATTCTACGGCTTATCGTTTTCTCTACTACCTGCACAAAATCCAAAAGAACTTCATGACATATACTTACTAGACAGTGATTCCTTAATTGAATTTCTAGAAAAAGTCAAGATAATTATACGGTGTTCAGGTTGTTATCTCGTATCCATTAATTGGATATATATATATATATATATATATATATATATATATATATATATATATATATATATATATATATATATATATATATATAGAAAGGACAATGAAATTCACTTTTACATGGATACCCACTTCCGCCCCAACTCTCGATTGGTAGCTATCCTCTGTTAAAACTAATGTCCAATTAACTGTATCTCACTTCTATTTTCAAGGTATCACACCGGTTATTGACCAATCAAAATGAACTTAGTCAAATGTAGGTCCATACATATAAAATAATTTTTTCTTTCTTTTGATGGTTTTTTAAATTTTCTTTTTTGCTATTTTTACAAGTTTGGTACCTGTGCCTAGTAAATTTAATGTACTTTGTAAATAAAAAAAGTTTTTTGACAGGAACTATTTTTTTCAGGACATAGGAGGCTACTTCCTAGGGTGCATCAGACCTGTTTATAAACATGCTGAAAACACGTGGATTTGAGGGTAACCCTGTTTGCAGATGGAAAAAGTCAGAAAATGCCGTGTGGGTACCCTGTTTTTTGGACTCGGCCAATGAGAGAGGTAATGTTTAACAATTTCTGCTAAGTATTTTTTCATGAATAATTTTTCCTGATTTTTAAAGAATTTTTTTCCTATATAGAAACATATAGTGAAAATAATTACCGGTGTGATACCTTGAAATGACCGTGTAGTGTAGGGCAGCGCCGCGAGAATTCCATCGGCATCGAAAGCACGTTTTTAACTTGCCTAGATCATGTAGATAGCCGAGCGGTCTAGCGCGCTGTTCCTGCACTGCTAGGAGACAGATTCCGAAGGTCGAGAGTTCAACCCCGGGCTGGGGCGGAAGTGGGTATCCATGTAAAAGTGAATTTCTCTCTCTCTCTCTCTCTCTCTCTCTCTCTCTCTCTCTCTCTCTCTCTCTCTCTCTCTCTCTCTCTCTCTCTCTCTCTCTCTCTCTATATATATATATATATAGTTCATTTCAAAGACATAAATTGCTTGGTTAGTTTTAATGCGTTTTAAATCATACACGTATGATGATTCATTTTAGAAACTCAATAAATTTTTCATTATCATTTGGCAGTGGAAACGAAAAAAAGCGTTTTTTTATTCTTCTAGTGCTATTTTTCGATACAATAGAATGGTATTTTTTCTATGGGAGAACATCGGACAATAAACTTTCTGTCTGCAATAAAAAAAAATTACCATGGATTTATAAAAAAAAATATGTGCGTTAATCAAAATGATACTTAATTACTCGAATTAGTAAATGTACGAATAATATAGAAATATTACACATGGATATAAGTGATGCAATAATATCAATGTGTTAAATAAGAATTACTTAGCACCAGTAGTACTGTCTGCTCTCCACGCCCAGAATTAAAGGAAAACTCATTTTGTCTGCATTGACATTTCTGCTGGCAATTTATTCCGTAGTATGGGTATGGACAAGTACTAGTCCTACCACATATAGCCAACACCACAATCTACAAAATAAAACTCATTCTTCTAAATACTAGCAATTTAAGTGAAAATGTGACAACAATTTACATTTAGTGTAAAATATGAGCACAAGCATAATTTCATTTTTGTACATTTGAACCATCTATTAATTTATTTAAAGTTTAATTTGAATCTCCGAGTCCTCCGATAAGTAACGTGGGACAAGGCCATAGTCATTTAAGGATTTACAACTTATATTTGACATTTATTCAAATAATTTCCGGGTTTAGTATTCATAATCTTTATACTTTATCAACCTGTTAATGCTAATTTAAGTTGAGATTTTTTATTTCTTATCACTGATAACAGCAAACTGGTAAGCATCTTTATACTTACTGACACAAGATCCATTAGTTTCATTCCACTTCTGGCCAGCACAGCATTTGAAAGGTCTGTAGAAAGCAATATCACACCATTCAATCATTGTTAAATAAACTACCGTAAAAATTCGCAAAATTTCCATGATTTAAGTATTCATGTAAAATAAATACATTATCCGTGAAACTGAACTTTTTTGCCTTTTATTTTCATTAAGAAAGAAATGTCATGTACCCTGTGCATTGAGTGGGTATCCATGTAAAAGTGAATTTCTCTCTCTCTCTCTCTCTCTCTCTCTCTCTCTCTCTCTCTCTCTCTCTCTCTCTCTCTATATATATATATATATATATATATATATATATATAGTTCATTTCAAAGGCATAAATTGCTTGGTTAGTTTTAATGCGTTTTAAATCATACACGTATGATGATTCATTTTAGAAACTCAATAAATTTTTCATTATCATTTGGCAGTGGAAACGAAAAAAAGCGTTTTTTTATTCTTCTGGTGCTATTTTTCGATACAATAGAATAGTATTTTTTCTATGGGAGAACATCGGACAATAAACTTTCTGTCTGCAATAAAAAAAAATTACCATGGATTTATAAAAAAAAAATATGTGCGTTAATCAAAATGATACTTAATTACTCGAATTAGTAAATGTACGAATAATATAGAAATATTACACATGGATATAAGTGATGCAATAATATCAATGTGTTAAATAAGAATTACTTAGCACCAGTAGTACTGTCTGCTCTCCACGCCCAGAATCAAAGGAAAACTCATTTTGTCTGCATTGACATTTCTGCTGGCAATTTATTCCGTAGTATGGGTATGGACAAGTACTAGTCCTACCACATATAGCCAACACCACAATCTACAAAATAAAACTCATTCTTCTAAATACTAGCAATTTAAGTGAAAATGTGACAACAATTTACATTTAGTGTAAAATATGAGCACAAGCATAATTTCATTTTTGTACATTTGAACCATCTATTAATTTATTTAAAGTTTAATTTGAATCTCCGAGTCCTCTGATAAGTAACGTGGGACAAGGCCATAGTCATTTAAGGATTTACAACTTATATTTGACATTTATTCAAATAATTTCCGGGTTTAGTATTCATAATCTTTATACTTTATCAACTTGTTAATGCTAATTTAAGTTGAGATTTTTTATTTCTTATCACTGATAACAGCAAAATGGTAAGCATCTTTATACTTACTGACACAAGATCCATTAGTTTCATTCCACTTCTGGCCAGCACAGCATTTGAAAGGTCTGTAGAAAGCAATATCACACCATTCAATCATTGTTAAATAAACTACCGTAAAAATTCGCAAAATTTCCATGATTTAAGTATTCATGTGAAATAAATACATTATCCGTGAAACTGAACTTTTTTGCCTTTTATTTTCATTAAGAAAGAAATGTCGTGTACCCTGTGCATTGAGTTATAACGATGTCCAAATTGAATAACATGAAAAATGCAAGAAAAAGATCTTTCATCATTCATATAACATCACAAGGAAAATAAAGTGTTTCCACTGTGATATTTTGCAGTCTGATTAGAAATCGAGTATTGTTTGTTTCTGGGACAAATGTGCAGGAAGAGTGAAATTAATATGATTTGTTCTGTAAAGTTAATTGCGGATACAAGCTATTAACTGATTAGGCACAATTAATAGTTTATCAAGTATACATACATTATTAGAATTCTCATAATTCTTATAATTGTCTATGACCAACATCTTGAACTTTATAGATAATTGTAAATTAGATCAACAACAAATCCCAATTAAATAACTTGAGAGTTTACACTAAATAAAGCACATTTATGCATTTATGTTGAACTTCCTTAGTTTGTATAACCTTGCCATGGAGACTTAGCTCGTTTTATGATCAGGGAAGATGAAATAAAAACACTTGTTTAAGAATGAATTATGTTACATGTATTTATTTAGAAAATGAGACAAAGATATATACAAAACAGAGGGTCATTCATAATCATGTAACCATAGTAATAATACATGTAGTGTTGAACATGTTGAACACAATCATGACCACCTATAATACTACATATGAAAATAAATATTTACATAAATCAAGAAATAGGGGGCCAAAGGACTAGAGTTATTATGCAACATACGTACAAAAATCACCGCTAAAACAAATTTCAACGTAAATAGTTTGATTTGAAAAATGTCATTTAATTTAATTTGATAAATGATAAGACACATCATGCAAAATACTAATTTAAAAAAATGACGAGCATCACACAATCATAAAAATATGTGCATAAAATCATATATTATGTTAAGCAAAGTATCAAAGATGGGGCATAAAAAATCGATGGGGCATACAAAATCGTCCCATCCGAAACTGTAACGGAGTTATTAATCTTTTACCACGCACAAAAGCAAAAATTAATTCTAGATCGTACAATTAATTTTTCACATCGAACATTGCAAGAAACCAAAAGTAAAAAGCTTTTTGGTGGAACGGTGGGTAAAAAGAAAAAAATATGACTGGAAAATGTATGTTAAAAAGTCAATGCATGCTGGAAGAATGGAGACCAAAATAATTGATAAAATACTATTAGTATCAGATAACAGGAATACAAACTTGACGAAGAAAGATGTCAGAGTTGTTCTTGCCATGTCAGATGTTTTATATAGATTAATTTAAAATAAGATTTTAACCAAATTGCTTAGCAGATATATTAATTGGAAAATTGAAAGTATAGGACAATGTCTTCATTTTTTTTTCTCCATTTTTCAATGAAAAGTAACAAACATATTCAAAACAAGGACCTAAATATACAGGCTAATTTTGAAAATCTTGAACTTGTATTATAAAAGGATAAATACAAATTACAATAGTAACCTCGATTTGTATGATCATAACATTAGAAGGTAAAATTACTTTCATTAGTCAGGTTAATTCGGTTGGTTTTTTTTTTTTGGAATACTATACACTGCTTTTCTTTTACCCCTCTCGCCCTTGTCACATGTGGGCAAATTTAAAACGGGGAGAATTCGATAAAACACTGTATCATCTCGTAAACAGAACTATGATGGGCGAACTTAAAAGGAGCCAAATCGTTAGCAAAAGTAAATGGGCAAAAATAACTCGGGACGAAAATAACATTGTGTACAGTGATCTCAATATTAGAGCGCTAATCTTGAGTCAAGTTCCTTTTAACACAATTATACCACTTCAGTGTAACATTCATCATTTCCTCTTAGTTTTGAGTAAATCACCTCAGGCATTTGTTGTGTCTTTATGTCTGCTCCAATTTCAGTGTAGATAGAACTTTCAGCATTTCCTTTGCGTACTTTGAGAACCTTGTACACACCATATATACTAATCATCAGGATCACAAGTAGTCCCAGAAGTATGGGGGAAACAATAGTGGCGGTGAACAGAATGGTCTGAGATTCGGGTTTATCGGAGAAATTACCACATAGATTGATTTTTATTATAGTAATGTTCTCCTGTGCTGTTTGTACAGGGGGTTTGGTTTCGGTAATATCTGAAATCATAATTAATTAAGCTTAAAGAACACTTAAATTGTTAAAATATATTATGCCATATATTGGAATTTTGATAACGTAAATGATATATAGATAACATTATTTCATAATATTGAAAAATATCTCGAAGAGATAATATAAAGGTATTTACATTTATCAGAGATACTTGTAAGTGAAACATTGAAGTTTGAGGTAATGAAATTTGCAGTGAACTCTGATGTAAAATTCTCGGTAGTTGTTTCAACTGGGAATGTAGCATCGATCATATCTGAAAACTCAAAATCATTCAAGATCATTCTACATGTATTGATTGCATTAAAATACGTAATTTTCTTTTAATGTCAGGGTTTTCAAAACTTTTTGTATAACCCTCGTTATTAAAGTAAGCGAGTACCTGCATGTTTGACTTTTGCAGCATTAAAATTCCTCGGAAGCTCTGAACTGATGTTCTCAGAAGCCTTTTCTACATGTACTACTGATTTGTCTGTAGTCGTACCTGAAACTGAAATGTAACAAAACTATTCTTGAAATTATCAACTGCATAAATAACAGGGTAAGTCATTTGGTACATTTCCAGAACCTTAACGCGCATGAATAAATCCAGACAATTTGGCCTGGAACCTAAATCCCCACATTAATCAGGCATAACTGTGTCTCGAAAATAAAGTCAAATTCTAAAACAAATACCTTTAAGAAACAGAGAAATCTTTATAATAAAATTAACCCACCACATCCGAGAGCAATGTTACATTTCTCCTTGGTACATTGGCATCTCTTTTGACAATGAACACCATAATAAGGATATGGACAAGTCATGCGACATCCAATGCCTGTGTAACCTACACTGCATACTTAAAATAAAAAAAAGCTTGACTTATATAAATTGGGTATACTTATAATATAGAAATAAGTAAGGATCATTTCCGATGATACTATATATACATGTATATACTTTACCATCGGATATGATGCTTACTTATTTTAATTGTTACAAAGAAATTCACTTAATTACAAGATAATTTGGTGTGGTTAAATAATTAAAACTAATTTAGCTTCAAGTATGATAATAGTTTTTATTCAATAATAAGAACCACTGGAGATGATCATATTTCATATGATCTAGTCAAGACATGTGCTATTGTATTGACGCAATAGTCATATTTTTTCAACAAACATAATGAATAGTGATGCAATTAATTTTCTTTTCTTATCTTTTAGATTAAAATGTTGGGTGAAACCAAATCAACATATTTATCAAAGTGCATGATGTGTTATCGAAAAATTATATATTTCCCTTCTATGGTGAAAAATATTCAGGTATCTTTTTTAGATACAATGTACTTGCTCAATATTCTTTGGACCACACCATTTCATTTCTTATACAAAATCATGAACATTGTATAGAAATACTGATTTGTGTACATATTTACTTACTCATACAAGATCTTAATGTCTCACTCCACTTGTATCCGAAACAGCAACGGAACGATCTGCAAAGATGCATTTGAATTATTAATTAATTATTAATTATTAATGAAAGAATAAAAAAAATAGTAGACTATTCTTGTTTCGAGACAAATTCAAGATTGATGTTAAATAAAAATTTCAAAACACATTTAAAACAAGATTTAATGGAAAGGATAATGTTCCTTTATTTAATGATCCATATATTTTAATTCATCTTTAAAAATAAGTATACCCTCTGCATTGCCTCGAGTCCACGTTCCAGATACATGTAACGAATAGTAAAAAATCCAAAGACAATATTGTTTTCTCCATTGCAATGCAGTTATGTATATATACGGTTGTACATACATATACAGCTGGAAATTACTGAAATAGTATTGAACACTATCTTTCTTTTTCACGCTTTTTAAGTAGATTGATGCTGTTCTCTTGTGACTTTTTACATTGTGATCACATGTTTCAACTGACTAACAAATGCATGCGCGACGAATACAAAATTTCTTTAGCTAATGTTCCTTATGTTATTTTAATCTTAAAATTCTTTAATTGGTGTCTGTATAGATATTCCGTTACCTTGAAATAATAGTTTAAAGAGAGGGAAACAAATAAAGCAAAATTTTTTTAATGTACTTTTAAACGTCTTCTGAACACCGAAAAAGAAAAACGAATCAATGGGTATAAAAGTACAATGAATAATATGGTTTCACACCTAAATGTAAGCTAAATGAGAAGGAAGCCCCCCCCCCCCCCCCCCCGAAAAAAAATCAGAAATATTTTTGCGTCAGTTAAAAGATCAAAAACTTTGTGCCTTTAGGTACCATGAATTGAACAACTATAGATTAACAAGAAGCCATAGTACTGTATTGTCCGTCAGCCATTTTTCCTTTATTTATATGTCTTTCTGTTTATCATATCAACACTTTTCTTTCTCATTGTAACACACAACAAAATCCATTTTAGAAATAATAACTGTAAATTAATTTGATGTTTGTTTATCGATAAGCTAATTACACAGTTAAAAAAGAAATATTTTGGATGTAAATTTAAAAAAAAATGTATGTAAAATGTAATATTCTCATTGACCCCTTGTACAATTTTAAAATATGCCAAAATTATCCAAGAAAATGTAAATACTAAAGAGGTAGAGCCACTTTGGGCCTTATTTGGCCCTGGGGATTTCTGAAAATTCAAAACCACTCAGTTTAGGTTGCAAATGCAGTATTTATCACTTGGACTGTTGGTGACCACGTATCTATCAATTGTGACGTAATTTCACATCTAGTCAATGCATTATGACGTCATAAAATGCGTCATTTTCCTCATATACTGTAAATTCCTTTGAAAATGACCTAAAGTTGAAGCGTTTTTTCAATATTTCATATAGAGCACAACCTCTGATCCAAAATATGCCAATACATAATGAAAGGCCTATTTCTGAAGATCAAAAAACATGTTTTATTTGGATCGTGGGCTGTGCTCATATTTTAATTCTTTGCTGAAGGTAGTCAAATACGCATATTTTCTGCAAATTTCAAGAACATTGCAATATCTCAAAGCCTGTTTTCAAATATTTGGATTCTCAAAACGAAATTTCATTATAGAACATGAAAGCTCCAAGTGTCTACTTTATTTTGTTATGTGAAAATGGAAAGAGGGTGATAGTTAATTAATTGATATAAGTACAGGGCCATTTTACGCATAAGATGGCTCTTGCTTTTTATATCAGTTGTTTAATATAAGACTTAAATGCTTTAAGTCAGTATTTTTCATTCTTAGTGTCCAGTAAGGTTTTAACATCATTTTGTTCAGATTTTGAATCATTCTTCCGTGGTAATTATTTTAAAACTAGAAATATGCCTATTGGACATGAATGGCCGGCCGAGGGTATATAAATAATGCAGAAGGAAAATTTGTAAGAGTGTATGACATTTTATAAGAATATCTTAAATAGTGACTTAGTTGAATTGCTTACTTCAGTTTGTATCAGTATATGAAGTTTAACACTAATTTAGGAAAAGTGAGGTCAAGATCAAAGGAAAGGGCAATGTCAAAAATGTTGATGCAATTGAATAGTTCTCAGCAATTGAATAGTTCTCAGCAATATGTATCAACATATGAAGTTAAAAAAAATATTACGAATGGTTCCTTTAAAACTGAGCTAAACACTTATTTAAGAAAAGTGTGATCAAGGTTATGGGAAAGGTCAAGGTCAAAAATGGTGACGCAGTTAAAAAGCTTTCTTCAGTATGTATCAACATTTAAAGTTTGATAACGCAATGTTTAAAACTGACCTAAACACTAATTTAGAAAAATGTAGGTCAAGGTCAAAGGAAAGGTAAAGGTAAAAAAAAATCTCAATATCTATCAGCATATGAAGTTTTGGTAAAAATATCTTGGATAGTATCTTTGAAACTGCGCTTTGAACCAAGCCAAATGCAGAGTGTGACAGAAGGACAGACGGAAAGTCGGAGGACGGACATGACACTATATGGCGGGGCATAAAAATCACTCTGAGCTAATGATTTGAAATCTCGATCCGAAATCTGTTAAATTTTGCTATGCAATGAGAACAATAATTGAACGCATAATTATATGTTTACATAATTTCCTATTTCGCCTAAATGCACCCAAAATCAAGGTACTACGGCAAAATGGAA